CACTACAAATTTAAATCTACTTTGGACTATGATACTGTGTCGTTTGACGGACTGCATATTTCGGTGGCAGATTTGAAAAAGGCCATATTTCATCAAAAACGTATCGGCAAAAATACAGACTTTGACCTGCAAATTACAAATGCGCAAACGAAGGAAGGCAAATATCTCACATTGTTATGAAATTCTTTTCTTCTTGCTTCTGTCCTACGAATCTATGCTACTGAATACTGTTAATCATATAATTCATAATATTCAATAATTATATTTCCTCACCAGATTATACGGACGATAACGCGCTAATTGCAAAGAATACCAGTCTTATTGTCGCCAGAGTTCCATTAACGGTACAACAGAAACGTTCTTGGGATCGAAATGAAACTCCTCCGTTTAGTAATGTAAAGGATGAAACTAACTTGGGCAGAGCCGTAGATCTCACGAGATTGGATGGCTCAGAGGAGGATAAAATCCGTGCCATGATGACGCAATCGACTCAAGACTACGATCCATCAAAGTATGCTATTTTCTATTGATTTTCTATTGATTGACACAGAAGAAATACTTTTGCACACGAGCCAAACTATATGTGTATAAAATATAGATATAGAACCGAAGTAAGCAAGATCTGATATATGTATATTTAATATTTTGTTAGTTATATGAAAATTCGTGGAGCCAATCAGACTGGGGATGTGCCTGCAAATTACCGTTGTTACAAATGCCACCAGCCTGGACATTGGATAAAAAACTGTCCACTGGGCACGAATCAAGAGCCAATTGAAATTAAGAAAAGCACTGGTATTCCCAGAAGTTTTATGGTACCAGTTGAAGGACCTTTGGTGCCTGGTGCTATGATGACACCTACGGGACACTATGCTGTTCCTGCTATTGATCAGTGAGTCTCAATTATAATATGCATTACAAAATTTACATCAGGTTTGAAACCTTTCTGGAAGCTTTCTGCAACAATCTGTGCTGTATGGGATATGTACTATATGTACGATACATCATATGAATAATACATATTGCTCATTTGCTGCAACAACGACATAACTAAAAAATTGTCATTTTTGAACCGAATTTTTGCAAAAGAATGAAAATCGATACACTGAATGAAGAGCTAATATATAGCTAGATATTTTTGTTCCTCTACAATCAGTTACTGCACCAAAATTGCATTTAAAAGTAATGTTAACCAATTTTATAATGATTCGAAACATTCAAACTTATTTTTGGGAATATTTTGTTTCCTGAGTTATGTCATTGTTGTAGCAAATGAACGATATGATATATTCATAATTATTATTTTCTTTTTCCTTGTCTTTAGTCAAGCTTACAAGGAAGGTAAGAAGGAACGACCACCATTTTCGCAAGATCCAGAACCTGTGGTAGAGAAGCCCGAGATACCAGAGGATTTGTTATGCAATATCTGCAAAGATCTTTTAACGGATGCAGTGATGATTCCATGTTGCGGAAATTCCTTTTGTGACGAATGTAAGTCTTTATCATTCAATTATCAGTGATAAATTAACAATTAATTATTATTAATGTTTTTACATTAAATCATTACATTTATATCTGTGTCTTTTTTTCTTTTTCTGTGATAGGTATTCGTACATTTTTGTTAGAATCCGAAGAACACGAATGTCCAGATTGTAATGAGAAAGATGTATCACCGGAAACACTTATACCAAATCGATTTCTACGTAATGCAGTAATGAATTTTAAGAATGAAACTGGTTACGCCAAAAGACAAACGTATCGGCCTCCCGCTCAAAATGCTGGACAAATCACTGTACCAACCGATCAGCCAAAAACTGAAACGCAGCAAGTTGCGGGTCACGTATCTTCTCAAGCTAAAACTGTACAGTCATCCGTTGCTCCTGACGCACCGTCGCAAGAACCTGTAGATCCACTGCAATCCACTGATCCTGAATCTGCTTCGCAACACTTTCCAACCAACATCTCTGGTTCGCAGCCACAGTCATCAACCAGTAAGTGTCTTTTGTTAACTGATGTTATTGTTTTGATGTACGTATAGAAAAAATAAATAGATCCACGAAATACAGTAATAGAGGATTCCGCAACATGTATCAGACAACGCAATGAAAATGTCTATATCTTATATAACCATAAAGTTTTATTTTTGGTAATATACAACATAGTCTTGATTAGCTTGAGATCAGTATGTGACATCATGCGATTGTTATTTCTTGCTAAAAGTGTGGTATTTAGTATGGTATTAATCATGTTACAGATTTTTATATAATGATTCCGATAACGTTAGGCACGTTAAAGTTTTTAAATATTTTAAAATTTATTAAAAATCTACTTGTGCGTTAAAAATTTACAATTGAACATCTATTTATAATATTTTGTGATATATTATTTCATAAGAGTCTAACAATAAGAAAAATATATATGTGATAGTATGACTATACATGAAAATATTTTTACATGTAGCAAGACTTACATTTTAAAGCAGATTTATTAATTTTGAACTTTTCGTAGTATTATTATTACTATTCGCGATAATATTTTTAAGAGTTATTTTGTGCTCAAAATTTTTAACATATATATATATATATATATTACAGAAATGTATTTATATGTATCGTCATACGTCTGACTTTAAAGTACAAATGTAAAAGAGTTATATTATGTCTAAGATATATATCCACATAGTATCTTTTGAAATCACAAGGAATTATTATACTAATATTAAGATAATTTAATTGGAGTTAATGTGTAAAATATAAATATTATAATAATTTATCCACATAAACACAGAATATAATACATTATTAATTGAGTTATATTTATAGATGTTTATTCGTATAAATAACAATAAAAAATATTAATATGTGTACGTATGTGTATGCGTGTGCGTGCGCGCGCTTTTTTAATCAATTTTAATCAAATATTTAATACTTAAAAAAAAATTAAAATAATGCAAGCGTATTGATTAATGATATCTCTTTGATAAAATATGAAAACTCATACATGAATTGATCTATCTATCTATCTATCTGTCTCTCTTTCGTTTCATCGCTCGTACTGAAATATTTTGTGATATGTAGCATATATGTTAAGTTCTGTTTACACATACACACAAACACATACACACAGGTATATAGGATGTTCAACGTAATGGTCCGCACGATTTTTGAGACGTTTCCGATAGTTTAAAAAAAAAGGTTGTAAGGTGAAAATTTATCTATTTCATGCAAGCTACAATCTTCAATAAAAAGAAATTGAAAAAAAAAAAAAATGTTTTTCATAAAAAGTCAATGTCACCTTGAATTTTTAAAATTGTACCATGTTTTTTTTTCATAATATTGTAGGGGACTTTAAGACGAATTCAATGCTCTATCACAAATGTCATTTTAATTGATATTTAATAGCCAGTTTGCAGCATTGTTTTGAATAGCAGTACTTATAAGCTCTGACTAGAAGTGTAAACGTAAACACTGAAAGTTATCTGAGGACAATTTTCGCATTGTAAACATATAATATCAGTATTCTATGAGTGTTCTCCTGAAATGGATGTAAATTATTGTTTTAATAAGCATCTAAAAAATCGTGCGGACCATTACGTTGAACACTCTGTATATACAACATACACACAAGCGTGCACACGCACACGCGCACACACACATATAAACATGCATAGTGCAATGTGTGATGTTGAATACTACCTCGCCGTATATTTCTCGTACGTAAACAGAAGGCAGGCGCCATTATATCCGAGTATGTAATCAATGCAGTTTTGACTTTTCTGATTCATATGGCGCATAAAACGTGAAAAATAGCATCGTCGCGATGAAACGTGCTAAATAACGTGTTTAATTTCGCTACAATCATGTATTGTTGACGATGTATTTGAAGTTATGCCGGCCAGCTGACGATATTAAGCACATAACCTCAAATGCACTATGAAAAAGAGAGAGCGTGAGAGAGCCCTGTACGCGGCAATTCATGGATGGATTTCATGAATGTATAGCTAATCCGCTCTCTAGTAAGCTATTATCGCTAATTTTATTCGCCTACTCATACGTGATGTGCTTCTGACAGCTCTGCCTGAATCCACTTCAGAGTCACACTTGCAAAGTGACTCGGTAACAAAACTAACAACTGATGAGGAAACTGAGGTGCCTCCTCCTCCAGGAACAGAGCCGCTACTCCCGATCCCCGCCCTCGTGAGTTCGCCAGAGAGAGAACGCGAGCGAAGCGATCCCTCTAGCCGCGATAAGAAGGAACGAGATAATGAATATTCGGAAGAACGTCAATCGAGAGAACGTCGACGAAGTTTCAGCAGGGATGGACATCGTGACAGGTAAGTGGTGGCAAGTCTTGCTTCTTCTTCTTTCTTTTTCAGCAAACTTGCAACATTGCGAAATCTCTATCGCTATGTAAACGATGTAGCCGAGTTAAATTGCATTCCACTGATTTTTTGCAATAATTTTGCAGAAGTGGAGAGCGTGGTCGTAGGATTGAAAATTTACGGCCGTTAAATCGCAACCGAAATCGATCCTTATCGCCCAGGCACTCCCAGCACGGCGACTATCCATCCTCGAGCGTGGTGTTACCTCACTTAATGAACCCACCTCCTTCCAAAAGCTATCAGGGACATTTAGCGGACGATGGACATTATCCGCCTACTATGCATTATGACAGTGGAATACATAGATCTAACGAAGACCGTGCGGGCACTCCAACGGTATGTGACAGCGAGAGTATTCTCTACATAAAGAATTTATTACTTGAACATTTTTTCTCATTAATTTCTCGCTGCACCTAACTCCGCTGTGATATTTCAGGTCGATGAGCCGCATTTGCACGTCCCTTCATCCGGCAATCAACCACCGTTATTGCCTTTTCCACCGGGCGAAGAGCGTATTCCGCCGCCGAATTACAATCAGCCACCGCCAAATGTACCTCCGCACAATCCTCCACTTTTGCCGGATCCTTATATGAGTCATCGAATACCGATATATCCACATCAGCAGGGGTCGCATTACGGACCGCCGAGGTACGATAGACCTTATCAGCAGCAGGGATATCGACCGTCTCAGCCACCCCGAAATTATAACGGGCCACCGAGACCAATGAGAGGATTGCATCACAGTAAGCAATTTGCGTTCAATTTGATAGTTTATTTACTTACAAAAACGTGTTTGATTTCTGAAAGCATTTTCTATAAATTCTTTGTTGTAGAAGCAAACACTTTAGGTAACAAGCAAACGCTTTTATTTGATTTTGACACTTATTCGTATTCTTTAAAGCATTACATATGATTCGTTTGTATGTAATACTTTGATTTGTTGGTTAGTATCTCATTTTATTTGTATTTTGTCGTTCGGTGAGATATAGAGAAATCTGTTGGTATATTTTTCTTTTCTTTTCTTTTTTTTTTCCATTTTTAGCATCTCGTTTGTATTTTGTTTCAGTGGGGTATAGAAATTTGCAACCACCGCCACCTGGACTAGGTAGAAATATACACAATGGGAATCCACCTGGGTAAGCTAATTTTTCATGAATCCTCCTTGTGAAAATCTTTAATTGTTTTTTCAAGAACAAATAATACACGTACGCGTGCACTTATTGTTTCTATTATGCACCTATAATATAGACTTTTCTGCAGAATTATTGACGATCCATTGGAAGCATTCGAACGAATGCTTAGAGAGAAGGATGAGAGAGATCGACGTTTAGGGAAGCACAGAAGAAGAAGCAGAACGCGATCTCGATCACGTAGTTACAGTCGATCTAGATCGCGCTCCTTTGGCCGCAGATCACCTTTTGCATCTCGCATCAGTCGATCTCGTAGTCCGCCGTCGAAACGGAGATCATCGAGGTCACCATTACCGCTCCGACCTCGTAGTCGCACCCCAAAACGTAGATCAAGAAGCGGCAGCTTCTCTATCAGCAGGTACGTGTGTAGTTTTAATGAAAACAACGCGATATTCGCTGTGTCGTTGTGTTCGATTCTTCAAGTTCATCTGACTTTGCAGATCTAGATCGTATTCCCGCAGTCAGTCACCAAGATTGTCTCCGTCGAGAGATAGAGATAGGGAAAGAGACAGAGATCGGGAGAGGGACAGAGAAAGAGATCGCGACCGGGACCGCGACCGCGATCGTGATCGCGACCGCGACAGAGACCGCGAGCGGGATCGAGATCGCGACAGAGACCGCGAGCGGGATCGAGATCGCGACTTACTGCCCAGATATCGATCGCCAGTCAGATCACCTCCAAGGTATATCTCGCATAATATTCACCATCGTATTAAAAAACATCCAAAATGCATTGTAAATGCGTATTGAGGTATGATTGCGAATGCTTAATCTTTCAGATTTCAAAGAGAGAGGGATCGCGAGAGAGACAGGCCGCGATCACGTGAGCCTCGAGATGGATACAACACTTATTACGGCGATTCGCCGGCTCATGATTATCCATTCCGTGATCGTGAGCGCGATTTACCGCCTAGGGAGAGACCACTGCCGAGATATCCTATAGGAAGAAATCAGCCATCCCAACACAATATACCACCGTTGATGCCGCATCTAGTCACTGGAGGTCACCCACCACCACCACCGCTTATGTCATTGGGACCTTCGCCTACGGACAGGAAAGACTATTATGATTCCTACAACAGGTATTTTCGCCTCAATAGTATTTTCATTCATGTACACTACGCTATGCAGATGATCTATCGACATGTTTATGCCACTAGTTTATTTAAGAAAAATAGCTCCGAAACTATGGCTATTGAATTATACAAAAGCGATATGATATATCAATCGAATTGTCTTGTTAGCGAGAAATGCCGACGCACAGAAACGATCCTGAAAGTTATTTTGACAATCCATATATAAATTAAACACTCAGCTACATTGCATAAATTTGACAATAAGCATCTCTATGTTCGATCCAATTTTACATTGATAGTGTATTGTTGCTAAATTAAGAGATTATTTCCTAAAATTTTCCTATGCATACAATATGATATGTAGTACAGTCTCTATGTATGTATATTGTTGTGCCAAGCGTCTCAGCTCTTAATATTAATGGTAAAGTGATTTAAATCTTTTTCCGCGTCTTTCTTCTTTTGTGCATAAATTTTTCTTTAGCTACATTTATTTCTTTATAATTTCTTAAATTATTATTTATTTTTCTCTGAATGAAGATATTTTATTGTCCGTATATATAAAAAATAATTGAAGAAAAAAGTTATTGAATATTGTAATATAATAAAGCACATAAAATATGTATTGATATGTGGAGCTTTTGCTATATGTCAAATTTATGCAGCTCATATATTTTACTACAGCAACGTTTTAATTTTTACAAGAGTGATACGTTGGAAATTGTATGCTGTGAGATTATTATGTTTAATTAATTCGTATCTCGTGATATCTCGTGATTGTACAAATCGATACATTTTTCTTTATATACCTTGTATGCTACTTGTGAATACTGAGAGAAAGACTGAGTTAAAAAAGATTGCGTTTTCAACACCGCATACTTAAGATACTTTTATATCTCAAAAGTAAATTGTTACTTGATCAATTTAGGACAATATTTTTAGGACAATATTGATAGCATATTATGTTTAGGACAGTAATGAGAGAAAATAAAGTATGCTAATGAGAGTGTGATTTATATGCACAGCGAAATTTTTCATCCATATAAATTTTTTTGTATTTCTTTATGTATTTGTTTTGCTATAGGTCTATTTTTGACAGAGATTTTTTACGTCAAGTAATAATCTACAGGGTGTTTTAGAATTGCACGGCACTATTTTAGGGAAATATTTTCTAGGTCAAAATAAAAAAAAAGTTTATGTAAACATATGTCGTAAACTTATTTATTAGTAAGATATTAAAGAGTAAAGATTATGTTTAACAGTAAAACATTTAAAGTGTGTTTTCAAAGTGGCCGTCGTTTTGTTGAATTCTTCTTGCATGCCAATAGGTCTACAATAAACTAAAGACTTCATCCAACCCCTAACGGCGTTAGACTATTTTCTATTGGGGGGTTGGATGAAGTCTTTTATTGTAGACCTATTGGCACGCAAGAAGAATTAAGAAACCGCATAGTGGAAGGTGCAGCAACTGCAGCTGCAGGAATAATCCTGATGCTATAAGACGTACCAGAGAAACATGGATACATCGTGCAGATACTGCATTCAACAAAACGGTGGCCACTTCGAAAACTTTAAATGTTTTACTGTTAAACACAATCTTTAGTCTCTAATATCTTACTAATAAATAAGTTTAGGGCATATGTTTATATAAACTTTTTTGTTTATTTTGACCTAGAAAATATTTCCCTAAAATAGTGCCGTGCAATTCTGAAACACCCTGTATATTAAGATTAATAATTTTTTAAAATATACATGCGCTATCGCCTATACGTACACCTACAACACACAACAAAAAAACACAAAATACATATACACAATACACATGTCAATATTTAACTATGCTCATGCGAATCGTATCTATATATTTACGAGATCTCATAATATTTAATTATTTATATATATTGTAATAACGTGCAAATAACAATATGTTTATATAGTTGTATTAAATATGTTATACATATGTATGTATGTATGTATGTATGTATGTACGTATATATTTTTATATATGTTATATCTTATACGTTATATTTTATACGTACAACGTATTTAGAATGTACCTAAGTATAATGTAATATTGTCACTATTGTAAATTTCTTTCTACATTACGTTATTTCATTAACTGCGATTCATTAAATTATGTGTGCATTTAATTATATACAATATTTGATAATTATTATACTAGAAAGATCAAGTAAGATCTATTTCTAGTTTAATAACTTTACTACATAATTAAGTCTTGTTATAAAAAAAATTCTTAATTCAAATTTAATCTCGATTCGCATATGTAACAATGTATTATATAAGGATTATATATACCATAGTAAGCGTACTTTATTTATCTACGAAATATCATTACAATATTATTGAATTATAGTTATGTTATATAATTATAGTTGAATTATAGTTGTAAAATGCATATATGTATAATTTGCAGTGTTTTATACATGTGTTTGTGTGCGTGCGTGCATGTGTGTGTGTATGACGTGTGCGTGTGTATGAATGTGTGTGCGTGTGTGTGTGCATGTGTGAGCGTGTGTGCGTGTGTGTGTTACATGCATATTGTGAAATGTAATTAAAAAGTGCAAAAAGAGAAGAAAGAAGCAAAGAAGAGTATCGAGGACCATCGTGGAGAGAAGCTAGCCAGCTGATTGACACATCTGCATGGTTTGTGAATCAGGTGAATTCAGGGCCAAATCAACATTTGTAATGAAAAAAAGCTTGTTTCCATTTATCTTCAATGTCAAATTTGGGACACGTTACTGAAAATTTATCATATCATAATATAAACAAATCAAACGTAAATTGGAAAAGGCTATTCAACGAATCCGGCAATTTCTTAATTTACATATCTGTACTTATTTGAATATTCAGGTGATTCTAGTCATGAAAATACATATTTTTTATTATATCTTAAAGCAGTTCAAAGTTACAAATGTTGCTTTCTGTACTTCATAATTTTATAATTTTATAATTAATGATTTTAACAAAGTCTCGGCAATAGGTGATTGCGATTACGTCCTGTTTATTCTTTCAGCTTGTATGGAGGTTAAAAAGGTGCAACAGTCTTGTAAAAAATTAACACATTCCTGTCTCAATTATTTGAATTTTTATTAAATAGATGTCTTCCGTACACCGCAGGTGTAGCAAATAAACCTCGGGATTCGCAGAAGAATGGAAGAAAATTTAAGGGGCAAATTATTCTCTTGGTTACTTTTTTCTCTACGAGTACTTTAACACGATTAATTTTCTCGATATAGTTAGAGATTGCATAAATTCGTTACTAACAATTATTCTACGCGTTCTTCGCGTTCTTCGCGCGCTGTGTCATATTTTCTATAAAGACACATCATGTATTTAAGATAGGAAATGAAAAAAAGAGAAAGCATAAGCATATCTAATGTTTAGCAGGATAACTAACATATCAAATGCTGTACTGACTTTCTGTCAACAGATATTCCGGACCTCCGCCGCCGCAGCGTTTTAGCAGTCCTCTGAGGGATTCTTCGTCACATAAGCGATTTGACGACGTAGCACCGCCTGGTACTGAGGGCTATTACGATCTCTCGCCACCGGGTGTCGAACATTCCGAGAGACCGTCGAGGGACGATCGTGAAAGGCAACGTTCCCTGAGGGATCAGGAAGATAGGGAGCATTCGTCCAAGGATCGCGATAACGACGAACGTGATAGATTGAGAGACGATAGGTAACGTTGTTAGACATTGTATCGAGTCTGAGATGACTACTCTTTAATAAGAAGAGAATCTTCTTTCTCTAATTACTATGCATTTCATTAAAATAAAAAAAATATAAAAAAAACTCGCAATCGCATTACAAAGGAATATATTTATGATGCATCTTGCGTTTCAAAAGGGGTCGCGAACGTGAGGATCGTATGCGCGAGAGGGACGACAGAGATCGCAGAATCGTAAACAGAGATCGCGAGGATCGCGACAGGCAGGTTCCGCCTAGAGAACATGAGGATAGGATACGAGAGAAAGACGAGCGCGACAGAAGAGAAAAGGATAAGGAACGAGACGATAGACACATTCGCGATCGTCGAGATGATGATAGGCATGTCGAGAAGAAAGATTATGACAAAGACCGGTACGTTCTACATAATCCAAGTTAAACAATACCATTGTCAAATTAATTAAAATTATTCAGCTTCTATTGTCATGGATCAATATGGATGGATGTAAATTTTAACATGTTTGTTACCTTAAAATATTATGCTCGGAAAAAGGACATGCATCCTTAAGTTAATTCGCAATTTGTTGCAAATGTGTCATTGCAAAAATTTGTCTTCCTATTATCTTCCTATATGATATGTATTGTTACAGTTATAGAGATGATCGAGATCGCCATAGGCAGGACGACAAGAACCGGCTGCGAGAGAAAGAGAGACGAGAACGCGAATACGAGCCCGAGAAAGACAGAGATCGTCACGAACGATACGAGAGACGTTCGGTAGAGCGGAAAAAGAGCAGGAAGAGCCTAAGTCCGTACTCGCAAAAGTCCAGGGGCGACCCTAAAGATTTGTCGCCAGAACGAAGTACGAAGAAGAAGGAAAAGGACCACGAGGAAAAGGTGGAGGAGAAGAAGAAAGAGAAGAAGATAAAGGAGAAGAAGAAGAAGAAGGATAATGATGAGAAGGAGAAGAAGAAGAAGAAGAAGAAGGACAAGAAATCGAATCAGAAAGAAGCAGCTAAGGACGATCCGACGATCAAGACGATGGAGACGGACGACCTGCTGGTCGAGAGTAAAACAAGTAATGATACTTTGTCTTCGCCGCTCAACAAGACCGACTCCGCGAAGGCGTGCAACGAGGAGGCTAACATACAGAATAGGATCGAATGTATCTCCAATCAAGTATCTATCGTGCCGATCAAAGAGGAATTCGAGGATAAGTCTCTGGCGATGAATCCGGAACCGCCGGAATTCAACGAACCCAGCCCTGGCAGTGGTCGGCTAGATCGTGCAGAATTCGGCACGAATCCACCGAATCCAAACTTTAAACCGATCCCGGAACTCAAGTCGGATATGAAACCGATCGACAGCCTGTACGGAGGATTGGACGACACGGAGATTAACACTGTGATCACGGAGAAGTATTCTCTACTCTCGGAACACTCGCAGACCGAGACTAAGGAAGCTATCACCGTGCTAGCGACGGAGAAATCACCAAAGAAGGATGAGTTTCTGGCACCACTACCCGAGTTGTCCAAGTGGGAAAGGGACGATACGATCGAAAAAGCCGAGGACGACGACGATGACGACGACGAGGCGAGCGGATCGCCGACGGAAAAGACACAGAGAGAGGACGAGCCGAAATCGATCAAGATGGTCACGTCGGAGGTGCTGAAGCGTGCAGAGAACGCTATATTCCAAAAGGCCATTAATGCGATCCGACCGATCGAGATCAAGAAGATCAGCGAAAGCAGAAAGATATTGTATCAGAATCCTGAGCCTAAGGTGCTGGAGACGGTGGAGCCCGCCAATCGAGAACCGCGAAAGAGCGTCAACGTGACGATCAACGTTGGTAGAAACGAGAGGAATGTCGAGATCACCGAACCGGCGAAGAAAGCCAAGCTCGATCGTACCAAGTTCAAACCCGTGCCAGAGACAGCCTACTCGCCGACCAGGCTGTCTGCCAAGGAGAGACTCGGTGAGAAGATTGAGGACGGCAAGGAGAGAAAGGTCAGTCCTATAAAGGGATTCATGGAGAGGCGTGACGGCAAGAACGAGAATCAGTCGAGAAGTCGATCGCCCAGGAGGGAAAAGAGGCTCTCCTCTCCGCTCTTGGAGTCGCGACGCGTAGAGTCCTCTTCGTTGGGTTTAACTACAACGAGCGGCGAACGAAAAGTTTTCTTGGAAGAGAGAAAACGGGACAAGGATAGAGGCGATCGGTCGAAGGAGAGGTCGGATTTCCGAAGCGACAGACACGGCAGCGAGTTGAAACCCGAGAGGGAGAGTAGAGTCGATTGTAGAACGGACTTTCGTTCCAATAGAAACGACGTGAAAGGAGAACGCGTGGATAAGGATCGCGACAAAGACCGAGACCGCGAGCACAGAGGTAGGACACCCCCCTCGGCTTGCGCGTTTAAGAAAACGGAAATGTCAAAGGTCAGCTTGTTGAAATCGAAAGATGACGAGGAAGAGAAGAAGCGTGACAAGAAATCGCGGGAGGAAAAGAAGAGAAAGAAGGAGCACCGCAGCAGGAGTAAATCCAAGGAGCATAAGAAGCGCAAAGAGAAGAAGCACAAGAAGGATAAGGATAAAAATCAGGAGAAGAAGCAAAAGCACAAGGAGGCCGCGATCTCGAAGGACAAGTCGGATGGTGGTAACGAGACCAAGATCAGTTACGAGAACGTTGAGCCGCCTCTGGCAGAGTCGTCGAAGAAACAAAGGAAGAATCCGAGACTGGTGTCTGATCGCAAGCGCAGTATACTCGACGAGGCGAGCTTCGAACCCGATTATTCAGCTTCGGACTCGGAATCGGATGGCGAGGAAGGTAATAAACCGTCACCCGCGAAGAAGCTGAAGCTTGACGAAACGGAATTGAACAAGGAGATGGAGATTAAGTCCCTGAAGAAACGATCAAAGTCCAGTAGCAGCGAGGACACGTCCAGCAGTTCCGACACAACGAGCTCCGACTCGGATAGCAGCGACGAGTCGCATAAGAAGAAAAGAAAGAAGCATAAGAAGCACAAGAAGAAGAAATCTGCCAAGAAGGATAGCAGTTCGGACTCGGACACTTACTCTGATTCGTCTGACAGCAGCAGCGATGAAGAGAAACATAAAAAGAAGTCGAAAAAATCAAAGAGCAGAAGCAAGCAGTCGAAGAAGAAGAAGAAATCCAAGCATAAATGACATCGCTAGATGTCTTTGACGCTCGATCAAAGAGAACTTTACCTTTTACCTTTTACCTTTTACCTTAGAAAAGGGCAGAGAAAGGAAAAAAAGGCCAGAACTCTTTTTTTTCTCTTAGAATATTATTAAATATCACGGAAACCATTATTATTATTATTATTATTATTTTGTACTTTGTTGCTACAATTCAGCGTGTGACATAGTTTTTTTTTTTTTAACAGATGTCCTTTAGTAATAGGGTATTTATTGAATGATTTATTGGCATACAAATAAGTAAACACTTTTAAGGCTCAGTCACAATCAGAGGAATAAGGAATAAGATAAAGGAATCAGGAATAAGGCATATTGCATCTCACTTTAATGTACGTGTACTGAAGTGAGATGCGACATTCCCTTATTCCTTTATCTTATTCCTTATTCCTCTCATTGTGACTGAGCCCTTAGCACACGAAACAAATTAACAGTTCGAGGAGAAGAATAAGAGAAAAAAGAAACAAATGTTGGGAACACGTACAATAGTTAAACTGTTCTAACGTGAGAGAAAGAAAAGAAGAACACGATGGCCTTTGCATAATTATCACGTTCCGACTTGATATGTTAAAGAACTATATATACACATACGCGCGCGCGCGCGCGTATGTATGTGTAGATATGCACATATATATGTGGGTGTGGGTGTGTATGTATATATGTAAGCTTATTATTACAATAAGCCATGTACATTGTAGCTTATGTAATTTTATGGCACGTTTGTCAAAAAGCGATAAGTCTTTGAGAAACTTGATAATTATATGACGAGTATAAGAGGATAATTTTATTTAGAGAGGATCTCTGCTGTCTATCTATATACATATGTATTTCCCTTTCCTTCTCTCTCCCTCCCTCTTTCACTTTCCACCATTATATTGTACTTTCGTAATCTAATGTCAATATGTAAGAAAAATCACAAAATAAAATGGAAAAAAATCTTTTAACACATATTCTTGTATCTCACCAAACACATGAACATTCAAAGAAATATCAACCTTGCATTCATCATGCGAAATTGTACATTGTGATACAGCTTTGTTGTTATATTAACAAAGAAGTTGCCATGTATACCAATAAGAATACTGCTTTGTTTTTCATTATTTATTATAATAAGTATAAACCATCTAAGTTTGTGCTATATGTTTTCAAGTTTGTACATATATATATAAAAAAAGATATAAGTGTGAGAGATTTGTATGTGTGTAACATACGTAGGAAATAAATAAATAAATCGCATTTAAAAATCACAATTAAATGTTGAATAATACATGCTCGTGTAGATTTTATAATTAGGTATCTTTTAAGCTAGTAAATGTTTGTACGAGTCCACATAATAACGGTAGGTTTTTGCTCTTCTCATTGTCTTTTACCCCTAAGCCTTGCGCAAGAAGCTTACGATCCAAGCAATGTTTGGGAAGATCGCATTCTGGAAAAAAAAAATCTTTTATTCAATCTCGTTGCCTGATCGCGTAAATGCATTTACGTAACATTTGATGTGATACGCACGATCCATCGTTATTACTTAAATGTGACGATATAAAATAATATACCTGCACGAAATACAGTGGAACTGTATTTGTAACCCATCCAATCCAGATATTCTCTAACGAGTTCATTAAGGAAAACAATATCGTGAGAAGGCTTGACAGTTTTTGAGTTGCTCTCTTTGCTAGAACAATCGAGCAATTTTATCACTTCTGTACGCATTTCTGCTTTTATCCGATCGAGATTTCCATCGGCCTTTAACGATTCTCGTACAGCTACAAATTGAAAAGGCAAGCAAAGGTACGGATAAACGTCTTTCATATTTTACACATTATGCATGCAAAGAACACATTAATAACGTGGGAATCGTCAATCAGGTCACATTGTCATACAAATGGATAGGATGAGTAGCGTACATATATATAGTATGAGAAAAAGGAGTAACGAGAAGAGACAAACAAAAATAAACATAAAACACACAAGCACGATTGTACAAATATCGCTCGGATATATGGCTTTATATACATAGTTTCCAGTCGCGATATAAAGTAAAGAAATAATGCGTTACTTGTCAGATAATTCCGTAATTGTTGATTTCATACAATAATATTTATACACACAATATACATTAATGTGGTTATATACCATTTACTAAATCTTTTTCCGTCGCCATTTCACGCAAAGTTTCATTCAATATTTTTCGGAAATCCAAAATATAAAAGAATTACACGGAAAATGCGGTAATTGAGCCGAGGAGCGAACGTACCGCCTATCAGTTTAAAACTTTTGACAATTCTTGCCGAACCATGCGTCAGCGTCAGCCAGTACCTAATCTAACCTGACCTAACCCCATCTGCCATAGCCACTGCCGCCACCCAGTGACGGTTGGTGCCGCTGGTGACAGTCTTCTCCTAGGGAAGGATCCCTATCTTCTCCCCACTCACTGTTTTGATCGTGTATCGTGTAGAATCGTATCGTATTCCAAATATTCCAATTTTCATTTCGCAATTCACCACGTGCTTTGTGTTTGGTCGATTCGCAAATTGTATCCCACACATCTTCAACAAGTAAATAAATAAATAATGGCCGATGAGGATTTCGATGGAGACGAGTGAGTAATCGAGAGTCTCTCTTATTTGAAGTTTATTCATAGAATAGATTAATATATATTTCTACTTGTATGTGTATTTCCGTAATATCGATTAAATATCTGGTCATGCTGTTCTCTGATTTATAGACGTTACTCTTTTTCGTAGGCGTGAAATAAAATAGATGGGAAAAAAGTTAATAGTTAAATACTATTGAAGTCAATACGATTAACGCAGGCATATTCGCCGTCTGCGGTTAACCTGATCTAACTGTCGTACCTGTTTTATAGGGTCGCGGATGATTTCGATGATGTAGACGACGAGGACAACATTGAATTGGAGCCTCAGGAAGATGATGGTGAAAACATCGAATTGTTGAACGCCAACGAAGCTACCGGCGGTGTCCAAAGATCAAAGAGGATAACGACTAGATATATGACCAAGTATGTAGTGTGTAGTATCAGAAGTATGTATGAGGTACGAGTAGCTTCCCCTATATGTATTTATATATATCGTGTAATTTACATTTTAGGTACGAGAGGGCAAGAGTTCTTGGCACAAGAGCATTACAGATAGCAATGTGTGCTCCCGTGATGGTAGAGTTAGAAGGCGAGACAGACCCGTTGCAAATTGCTATGAAGGAATTGAAGCAACGAAAAATTCCTATAATTATACGCCGCTACCTGCCTGATAACAGTTACGAGGATTGGGGCATTGACGAGCTAATTATAATTGATCATTAATCTCAATTCATATTTTTCTTGATATAATTATATTTATTATCTATACAGAATAAATAGTGGTTCCGCGTGGCAAAGTCTCATTCCATCTAACTGTCTTCTAGATTATGCTAAGTATAGAGGTAAATAATCATTAGGTTTCTTATTTTCCCCTTATAGACTACTTGAAATGTTGAAATGGCATTTTATACTTGGTGTCTTACAGTTATGTTTGTGTTCTATAATTGTGCGCTACAACACATGGAACATATTTAATTTGTTCAGTAAATTTGCATAGCTTAACGTTGCGTTAATTAATTTTTACTTTAATCGTCCGAAAATATTAATTTGGTCTCATCTTGCAAGTAAAAATAATAAGTAATAAAGGCCTTGCACAATGTCAGGCAAAGCGCAAAGCCCGTTTCCCGCTTAATGCTGCATCCCCATGGAGAGTATTGGACAGAGAAATAGCGGAACGGAACTAAAACGGACGCGCACTCTGATTGGCTAATCTCCAGGTGGGGGCTCTCAAGATGGAATATTAGCCAATCAAAGGACGTCCGTTTTAATTGTGTTCCGCCATTTCTTTCTCCATAGAAATGCACTCTAAATCTCGGCGTGCTCGGCTCGGTGAAATACTGGCTCCAGGTTAGGTTGCTCCGGAGTCCCAGACTCGGTGGTCGATTGCTGTTGTTCGTGTTGGTCACGATTTAAGAATAATTATACGGCAAACGCAAGTATATTTGACCGCGGTACTAAAGACATTAAGCTAGTCAAAATGGTTTTAAGTCCGACCACAAAACAGAGAATAGCCATCGTCCTGAACGTGAGCAAATTCGTATTTCAATGGGGATTTATTCCTTCTATCCTCTTTTTAGGTAAAATCTTAAATCTTGCGAAGTCATTTTGCTCGCACAATAAAATACTGACAATTTAAATATTTTATTTTAGGCTTCAGCAAGGGCGCAGACCCAGGCATGCCTGAATTAAGCCTTATGAAGTAAGCGATCATAAGAGACCTTTGCTATACGAAAGCGTTTTTCTTCAAAACGATTGATTTTCTAACATTTGTTTCTTTGTTTTTTTACAGCTTATTATGGCAGTAATTCCTACTTCCCTAACCCCATCAGACACGTTCGTTCTGAAAGAAATCATGGGTATCATTGACGTTACATGAATACGTTTATTTGAGGTTATAACGCAATGTTTTCAATTATCAAAGTAATGGATCGCATCTTACTAAATAAATGTTACATTATTGTTGATTAAAACCGAACAGTTACCAATGCTTTTTTTTATTGTACTATATTTTATGTTGTACTTTTATCTCCCGAGAGATATTATTGTACGCGCGTGTGTGTACATAGATCATACATGTATAAAGATGCATACAAGCGTCACATGCGTGATAAATATAAAATAAATATATAAAAAGTAAATATATCATTTATTTTAGACAGTACTATAAAACTGGATGCACAATGAAAAACGGGCAATAGGAACAGAATTTCCAACGCGTTGGATTTCCATTTTCTATTGCCTGTATACATACCTAACCTAACCTAACCAATTAGCTAAAATCAAATCACCGTGATTGGTCAGACAGGCAACAGAGAATAGAAATATCCAACGCGTCGGAAGTCGGAAATTCTGTTCCTGTTGCCTGTGTTTTTCAATGTGCATCCAGCTTAAATAATGATTGAAAAATCCATTTCAAAAAATTCGTTTCACGTGGCCCGTTTATCATGTGTCGTGTGTCATGTGTTTTTTTTTTTCTTTTTTTTTTCTCGACGAGTTGATGCGTTCCCAAACTTATCGGAATCACGCGCATGTCGAAATCTCAATTCCCATCTATATTCCCGTTGCTATATGAATACGACATATTTAGTTGATTGACCAATCAACGAAAGGCATTCAAAATTTTGAAAAACCGTTTGACGATGCTGCGGAGCTTCACTGTTATTCACGGTTTCCAACTTCCAACGTCGTTGATCACGCTGGTTGACGTCGATTGACTCTCATCTTGCTCAGTCTCGCTGGAGAAGTAAGTGCTCTCAAAGAAAATCGTATCCTGAATTTTCGAGATTAATAATTATGAGGAACGTAATGTCTCAGTAATCAAATATAGGCTCTCCTATATGTAAAATTATTAAATTAAAGAAGTTTAACATACCGGAAGAAAAGGTTGAACACCAGCACAGCGTGACATATGTGTACATACATATAAATTGACGTGTGTGTACAACTTACAAGTATTTTTCAAACTTTAATATAATATATAAATCTTTTTAAAGAGGCATGATATAAGTGTATACGTGTAAGTAAGTACGTGTCAAGGGGGTCATATTTGTCTTATCTACTATCTTAATTACAGAACCGGAATAAAAGTGTCAACTATGCTCAGAGCGGACAACGATGAGACTCGTCGTCAATTAGCTACGCATGCATTGAAAGCAGTTAGCAGTTTCAAGTGCTTGCACATTTCCGAAAAGTTAGTAAAAGACGTCGCAACATCACAACGTGTGGAAAGTACAAGTGACGATGGGGAAAATGCTTGCAAAGTCGATGCAAGGTCTATGACAAATACCAAAAACGAAAATGAATGTAAAGAGACCGCGAAGAAATCTATGGAACTGATGCCACCACCGAAATTACCAGTAGCATGTAAATCGGTAGATTCTGCCCAAGATCAACAAAAGCCCAAAAGTGAAAACAGCGGAGGAGTAAGAGATAACAAGAGTGAAAATGCTCAGAAAGTCTCCAGTACAGATACGAGTAGTGCGAACAAGGAGAAAAGCCAAAAGAAATGGATATTGACAGATTTCGATATCGGCCGACCTCTGGGCAAAGGAAAATTTGGTAATGTGTACTTAGCCAGAGAGAAAAGATCAAAATTTATAATAGCCATGAAGGTGCTTTATAGATCGCAAATAGAAGACGCGAAAATCTCACATCAAGTACGGAGAGAAATAGAAATCCAAACCCATTTGAGGTATTAATTTTTTCTATTTCTATTCTATTTTCATTTAGCTGTATATTCTAAAAACTTGCAACATAAAATATATAAACGGGAGCAATTTAAGGAGTCATATCTGATACAAATGTTGTCTTTCATATAGGCATCCAAATATTTTGAGGATGTATGGATATTTTTATGATGACAAACGAATTTATTTAATATTAGAATACGCACCAAAAGGTGAACTTTATAAAGAACTGAGTAATCAACCCAATAAACGATTTGACGAAGTAAGGTAGGAATTTCTTATCAGAAAGGTATTCTGTCGCAAATTGAAATAAATTGTGTACTTAGGTTTTAATTTCTATATACTTGTAGGACAGCCACTTATATAGCTCAATTAGCAGATGCGTTAAAGTATTGCCACAGCAAGAGCGTCATCCATCGTGACATTAAACCTGAAAATTTACTCCTTGGAGTAAACGGAGAATTGAAAATAGCCGATTTTGGATGGTCGGTACACGCTCCTTCCTCTCGAAGAGACACTTTATGCGGCACCTTGGATTACTTGCCGCCTGAAATGGTATCTGGGAAAACGCATAATCATACAGTTGACTTTTGGAGCGTTGGAGTGTTGTGTTACGAATGCTTGGTTGGCAAGCCTCCTTTTTATGCGGCAACTAACGATGAAACTTATGTAAACATAAAAAGATTGCGATATACATTTCCGAGTTTTGTTAGCCAAGATGCAAGAGATTTAATTTCAAAGGTAAGACAATTTCAAATCCGTTGCTAATGTGCTAAAACTTGATTAACACTTAATTAATTATATTTCAGCTAATAGTTATTGAACCTGAAAAGAGATTAGATATGGACGGCGTTCTTGCACATCCTTGGATTGTAAAAAATTTCAAAACAGATGAGGCATAAAATCTTCAATCCTAAACAATATCTAATTATGTTAAGAACCTACATAAGTATTGTAATAAATAAATGTATTGTAATTTTTGACTATCGTAAATCAACAGAAGATGGCGATGCATCCATATTATTATGTATTCGAAATATTCCTTTATACATATATAGAGAGGATTTTGGGATACGAGCTTAATATTTAAGTTTTAGCTTATACCTTTGTCGAACGAGAAGCGATTTATTGAAACGATATGAAATATGTCACGATAACGTTGCCATATTTTTTTATATTTCCACGATATGTTTCCTGCTTTAATTGATTGAATCGGTATGAGTCAAATGTGATTGTAGCTACGAGTAGGGAATGTATGAAAAATTTGTATTGAAAGTATTCAAGTAGAGCATAACAAAGAACTCACAAGATTGATTTTATTTTGAAACACATTTATTTGTACACGTAATTAAAGTTACACATACAATAAAAAAAAGGTGATTATTGTTAAACGTAATTGAATGTTAGAAATCAAACTTTTATCAACTAACGGAAATCTTGTCGAGGATCCTTTAACACATGCTATTCTAAAAAATTTATATATATATATATATAAATATATATATAAATTTTTTTATTTATCTACAGAGAGAATAACAAGGTATTTTAACCGACTGTATTAAATGTATATCTTGAAACAATAATAAATCATCAGTTAATCATTAATCCAGTCAACGTTAAAAACTTTTTTTATGAGACATAAATGCGCGGAAATTAAATTGCACCATTACGGGAGAGTTTCGTCTTTTCTGTGTGAAAGTTTTTATATAAATTTTTGTTTTGGAAGAATTCTTCGGCAATTCTTATAGGCTTTTAATAATTATACTTTTTAAGTTTCCATCGGTTCCATGACTACATCAACAATTGGTGCATCTAGTGGCGTATCCATTGGTGTAACTTCAGGATCAGGATTCTTTCTAATCGAGTACAACTTGCTTAACTTTTCGTAATGTTTAATATCCTGTAAAATTTATATTACTTTTATTATATTTGTGTCATCTGATATAGATTTGCAGATAAATCAAATCAATACTCGCCTTCTCGCGAACGGACGGGTGCACTTTATCGAATGCCTGAAAAATGTGTCGCATCGAAATTTCTGGCTTTCCAAAACCAGCTATTATTTCCTTCAATGCTTCCATACCAGCCTCTCTTATCAAGGCTGCTAAATCTGCACCAGTATAACCTTCACACCTATTGTCATATGCGACTTGATTCAAGTCGACGTCTGAAGCAAGTTTCGGTCTCGTTGCATTCTACGAGTTATATTATTGACGTATTACGTTATCGGGAGAAAATATGCTTTTTTTTAAACAGATAAAACCAATATTTTTCTCTCTTTCTCATACCTTTGTTACTGCACGTAAAATGTCCACTCTGTCTGAAGCATTCGGAAGACCAACGTATAAAATTTTATCCAGTCTTCCTGGCCTCAAAACAGCTGGATCTATAATGTCAGGTCGATTACTGGCTGCCATAAGGAATACTCCTTGCCGGCCCTCCACACCGTCCATTTCTGTAAGCATTTGATTAACGACGCGCGCTGTCGCGGAATTCTCGCCTTCTGTTCTCTTAGGACACAACGCATCTATTTCGTCGAAAAATATGACGCATGGCGTTGAATTTCTCGCCCTTGAGAAACATTGACGAACTGCTTTCTCACTTTCGCCAACATACTAAAAATAAAAATAAAAATGAAAAAATCAATAGACTCTCACATTTTGAAGCACAATACTTATAACACACAACGCTGAAACTTGCCATGTTTAAAAGTTCTGGTCCTTTAACAGAAATGAAATTGATTCCAGCTTCATTGGCGACGGCTTTGGCCAGTAATGTTTTTCCGCATCCAGGCGGACCACATAGCAATACCCCACTGGCAGCTGTTATACCTAATATATCACAATATTCAGAATACTTGACAAGAGCCTGCAATAAATAAGTAAATTTATATACATGTGCCAAAAACGCCGTAAAATGGTGTAAAATAAATAGCATAGTAGCGAAGTAGAAGCGAAGTTGTGAGTGAAGAAATGTAAGGTAAATGATAACGTTGATCCCGTTTTTCGGGAATTCATGTTACAAGACCAACAAATAAAATAACAGCTATTCATTCACAAGAGACGGAAAGTATGAAGAGACAGAAATATATTGATATACTCACGAGAATTTCTGTTTGCAATTCTTGCCGTATGTCTTGCAATGAGCCGACATCGTCCCACGTTACATCGGGAACTGTCGCAAATCCTTCTCTTTTCGCCGAAGGTTGAACAATGCCTACAGCAGTCACAAAATCACTGTGCTCAATACACAAGGTCGATAGACGTTCTGAGGAAAGTAGAGGTTCGGTACGCAACCAAGCCAACAAGGCTGACAAGTCTGTCGAAGGCTCCTGTATTACATCCATTTCAGCCACTTCTGGGGTTGGACCTTTAGGTAATTCTTTTGGAACCGTGAGATCGTTTTCAATCGTAGCAGGGACTTCGGCTGCAACACTAGTTTCAATTAAATTTTCCGAGTTTTCGGGAATTTCAACTTGTTTATCCGCTTGTTTCTCGACATCGGTCACTTCGGATAACTTTGTTTCCTGTTTTGATCTACTTAGATCCTCAAATACTCTACAAACAATACACACCATAAAATACGTACATATGCGCGTGCACGCGTGTATGGGTAAAAACCATGTGTAAAAAAGATTTACCTATCTACAGCGACCATGGCAGCTTCCCTAATTAAAGCAACTAAATCCGCACCTACAAAACCTGGCGTAAGGGAAGCTATTGTCGACAAACTAACATCAGGAGCCAATACGACTTTTTTAGTATGCACCGCTAAGATTTTAACTCTTGCTTCTCTATCTGGTATTCCAAGGCACACTTCACGATCGAAACGTCCTGCTCTTCTTAAAGCAGGATCTAATGACTCAGGTCGATTTGTCGCTCCGATCACCAGTACTTTATCTCCATTTTCGTTAAAATTCAATTCTAACAAGAAAATAGAAGAAAGGAAATGTAGCTTTAAATAATGTGAAACATAATAATGGAAACATAAATATTTTACCATCTAAACTTGATAATAATTGTGCCACAATTCTTCTTTCCATTTCTCTTTGAGCCGTAGCTCTATTTGGCATGACAGCATCTATCTCGTCCACGAAAACGACGCATGGCGCAAGAGCTAAGGCTTGCTCGAATAATTCTCTGATACGAGCTTCGCTTTCACCAGATATTCCAGTCACAAGCTCGGGTCCTGCTACTTTTAGTAGAGGCATATCTAATTGCTAATATAAAAAAAATATAAATTATTAATTATCGTGGATTTCCCTATTTTTTTTTAATTGCATGCAAAGACGAGAGAGAGAGAGAGAGAGAGAGAGAGAGAGAGAGAGAGAGAATAGGACAGATTCAAATATATATAACTTCAGTTTCACACGCGTTCATAGAATGTAACAAAAATGTATTTACTGTTCTATTTATTATAATAATTTGTGAATATAGCATATACTTTAGACGTTTTCTGGAATTAAATATTATCTTACTCCCGCAACTGCGTGTGCCAGTAACGTTTTCCCACAGCCGGGTGGTCCATGAAGTAAAAATCCCCTTGGTGGAGGTGCACCAAAATGTTTGTATAATTTAGGATGTATCATATGGAATAGTAATTTGCAGACAGTTTTCAAAACTTTGCTACTAACTCCTATATCAAGAAGTGTAACTTGAGACTTTGTGATAGGTAAGGTCTTCGCCCTCTTTGCAACTGAAAATTGTCCATTGCTATTATCCTTGTCTCTTTGTCGTTTTCTCGTAGCTTCCACCATTAGTGGCTGCTTCGTGGCTTCGTTTGCAGGCTGAAACGACAGAAACAGGTAAGAACCGTGCGCTTTATCCTCCAGTCTGATTCTCGCAAAAATTTAGCACAGTAAAATCTGAATCATAAATCGCATGAAAATACGTACTATTTTTGATTTCACGGTTTCTGATATTTCTGGTTTTTCTAGTTTTACTGGTTTTGAGATAGACATTTCTGGCTTCGCTACGGCAGTCTCTTGTTTCGCGTTGTTAATCGGCTGTTCTGGCTTAGCGATTACTACTGTTTCCGGTTTTGAAGTGGCAACCGTTGAAGCAACTGACACGGGCGGAGATTCTACAGCTACCGTACACCCAGGCTCAGACGTCTTTACGTCTTTTTCAGGCTTGGAAGAATCAACTTTATTAGCGCCATCGTCGTCGCTACTAATGTCTATCAATTCTTTATCGCTCGAGTTTCCATTCTGCTTGTATTGCGTCTTTTTATACATATGTAACAACATGTCACCTATCGAAGTACGTTGCGAATCTGACTAAAATGACACGCGATTTGATTACAAATATAATACAACACAATGTAATATAATACGAATTTGAAGGATAATAACAATAATAGATCGAGAACGACAATAATACCTCGACGTCGACATCCTCAAAATCGTCGTCGTCGTCGTCATCGTCATCGTCGTCGTATGCAGAACACTCGCGTGTCGATGGCTTCTTGGAAAATATCTCGGTAAGCTCGTCGTACGCTTTACGTACCATCGCACGGAACGCCCCGCGTTTCTTACCACGATAATCTCTGTATCGCCTTTGCAACGCATCTGCCATCTCATTCACATCGATATAAACTTTATTTTCATTTTCGTGCATGTACTGCGAAAGATAAAGACGTAACGTCAAAGAAGTTGAACTTGCAATGTTGCAATTAGCTAATGCTAAACGATCGTGTCGCGCAAGCTGCACGTTCGATATAATTCTAGTACGCACAGAGAGATAACCTCGACCTCAACGCGCGCGATTTACGTTACCGTTTGCACACGATCAATCAACGATTGATCTCGGAACAGCCTCTGGTCCATCCTGTGCTTATTGTCCACGTGTCTCGATCTGTAATCTCCACTCGATCCTTGCAGCGGGATAATATCGATCGACGAGTTCAGTTTGCCCATCTTCTGCATCGTTCCAGCCGTTCCAGGCGAAATGAGAAAACGAGGGTGACCGTGAGGGGAGAAACACCCCGCGGGGGCCACGGGAGTCGACTCGACTTTTGTCTTTCGTCTTTCGAATCGCACACTTTCGTTATAAGCACGTAATCTCACATCAATCCATCAATGCGCGTCGACGCTCACTTTTAGGTCGGCTAGGTGCTAGGTCTTACCCGTCTTAGGACTCTCTCCTAGAGCCTAGAGGCTGGTGCTCGCGCGTGCCCACGCGTGCCGCGAAGCCACAGGGCCCGCAGGATGCGAACGCGAACGAAATGTAGAATGTAGCGAAATTTCAGCAACGAAGTACGGAGTGCGGAGCGCGGACTGGACTACAGGACACTGGACAGACGGACCGCTGCGCGATGCCGCCGCTGCCGGCGATTAGAAATCGGAGTCAATCAAAGTGATCCCCTTGTTTCCGGAGTTATCAGTTCTCATGAGTGCTAAGGAATCTGAAAATCTGAACACCCTGAACAGTTCTATTATAGAGTGGTGGTCGACAATCGAGTTTCGACACCAGTCGACAGTGTCGACACTAATGATGATTAATGGGCGCGTTCAGCAGATACAACTGTTGAGCTTGTCTTATCAACACTTTGCGTTGATTGGTTGGTTCTAAAAGTAATGCTAGGTCTACAATGCGAGTCGTAAAGTCGTGAGTCGTAAGAATTGACCAATCACAATTGAATTTGAGGAGAATAATCGACTGTGATTGATCAATTCTTACGACTCACGACTTTACGACTCGCATTGTAGACCTAGGCTAATGCTAAGACTCCATAGACGTGGAAACGGCGTGCGGTAGAGTGCGTTGACCAATCAGAAGGCTGCCGCAAGTCGCCTGCGGCAAAATCAAAATTTGTGATTGGTCAACGCACTCTGCCGCATGGCGTTTCCGCGTCTATGGAGTCTTAGCATAAGAGCCATGCACGTTCGACTGCTACTCAGCAGCTTGGTTTGCTGAACGCGCTCAATGATCGACACATCGACCAGTCCTGCTAATGGCTTCTGCCCACAGGACGCGGAAACGCTTGCCGCGCGCGACAAAAAGCGACGCGGTAGCCAATAAACTTTTGGTTCTTACGGAAAAGCGACACGTTGATTGGCTACCGCGTCGCTTCTTGCCGCGCGCGGCAAGCGTTTTCGACACACACACATACGCACAAGACAAGCAAAATTTATGTAAAGTTATTTCTAAATTTATATTAGATCAGCTTTCGAACGATTAAATTTATCGTATCGTTTAAACAATCGTTTATTTAAGATTAAGATTTTTATCACATTACGGGGCGTTGGAACAACATATATAAAAAACAATATACATATATAGACAAAACAAAATCATCAAGAATTTTTATAGGAGACTCCCACTATACGTGATATTAATTCTATAATTGTGTGTACATATGTATATACGACATCCACTGTGTCACAAAATTCAATTTCTATCAATAATATAATAATCGTTACAATTGATTACTAATAAATGAAGGTTTTCATTAAACGAATACAATTTTGATTACGCACATTCGATTTTACTATGTACAATCTACTGTATATTCGAGGAGCGCGCTATTAGCGCTATCGTGTATCATTCTACCTTTATCGCTCATTACATTTAAAACAAGGATAGAATAAGCAAATAGCACTGATAGCGCGCTCCCCGAATGCAGTCCTAGTGTTATATTTTATATATATTAATTATATATATTGATCTAACCTGTTTTTAAAGATACGCACATATCTTAACGAGATATTGTTAAATTTTATATACGTTTTTATTATTACTGTTACCACAATGCCACGAATGTTAACTTATATCTCGTTTTATCATGTAAAAAAACATCTGTGTATTATTTTCCGCGTTTGTTTCGATGTGACAAGATTAAAAGTAGGGATACTTATTTTCAGACCAAACTTATAAATGCTACACGTGTATCAGATGCGATTAACAATAATAATAATAATAAACCTTAAGAGGACGATAAATAAAGGAATAATCCTTCGAGTGCGTTATATCTCGACATGCAATGATCAAACGCGATCCGATAATATAAATTACACATATGGCAATGCCATCACGTGACTGTCTTGCAAAAAAATACAAGTTACAAGTCAAATTATATTGCAAGCTACGTCAGAATAACGTATGCACTATACCGGTTGCTCGTTTTCTGGTAAATCTAAAATCTCTCCGACGAATTCGGCCACATTCGTATCTTTTTGAGCGTGTTCTCTGACAAAGTCGAGTTCCAGCAATTGACTGTAATTTGGACGGGCAGTATAATTCTTCATCAGACTGAAAACAATGAATGAACGTTTATGTGAAAGGATCAACCATCCGGTTTCCGAGTTGTAAGAAATAATCTTGTCGCAATGTCATTTACCACTTATTGATAAATTCCTCGAACGAAGAAGAGAACTTGCCAGCAGGTAATTTCGGGGCATCGTCTTTCACCACCTGCTTCAGTTGCTCGAACGGCGTACCCCATGATTCGTATGGAAATTTACCAGTTGCTAATTCAACGAGGGAAATTCCTAACGACCAGACATCTGATCTGATATCGTATTGCGATGGGTTACCCGACGGGTCTATCCTTTCTGGCTACATAAAAAGATAATGGTGGAGAATGTATCGAGTGGACAACTGAGTGAAACTTTTCAACTTTCCAAAATTCTGTGTAACACAGTTACGTACAGCCATATACGGTTTACATCCAGCGTCGATAGTCTTGGCAACGGAATCCACAAGGTAACCTGATATACCAAAGTCGCAAATTTTTACCTCGCCTTTCCGATTAATTAAGATATTACTAGGCTTTACGTCTCTATGAATCACCCGTAATTGCGAATAGAGATAATGTAACGCGCTTACTACCTGCAAGTATAGATACGACTATGTTAATGTTCCTTACGTTAAAAAAAGCTTAAGATCAAGAGAGAAAGAACTCGAAAGAATTTCAAGTCAAGTCAAGAAAGAGGAAAATCAGGAAGAAGAGAAAGAAGAAGAAGAAAAGAAGTAGAGAATAGGAGAAATGCTGGCGCAATTATTTAACATTAGCGAAACATTACTATGTGAGTGAGTTTAAAGAGTTAAAGTTATATGTTTACCGCAAAAGCCACTTTTCCTAAAATATCTTCAGGAATGGCACGACCATGTTTGTACACTTTTGTGTAAAATTTATCAAGGCTCATATCCATCACTTCCATACATATCCATACATCTCCTTCTCGAAACAAGGCTCCATAGAATTGTACGGTGTAGGGACACGCCGAACTACGCATAGAAATATCTAAATCCATGAGCAGTCGCTTTTGCTCCTGCGTATTAACGGTAGCAGCTATCCTCTGTAAAAAAACAGTTTCGTTCTCTCCGTACGTCCGTGATGTAACAAAGCTTACGGCTCACTTTTGACAATAATACCTTAACAGCCATAATCGTGCCGCTCGGTTTGTGTCGCATTTTATCAACAATCCCGTATGCTCCACGACCAAGTACACAAAGCGTTTCCAAATCATCGGCTTCTACAACAAACGTCTTTTCGTCTATAGTAATGGTAGTCCGTTTGTCTAAATTTCTTGGTGGTGTCCTAAAACAAAACCATATATAAAATATATCAGAAAATGCATTCTACCTTTATATATACACATTGCAGACAGACATTGTAGCGGTGCTTTACATACACTGGTACAGGTGTTTCATCGGAGACCTGCAGTCTCAGATTGCGTTTTCCACGACGTAGAGCCATGATACAAGATATGATCAATGAAAGGTTGCACCGCCCACGCAAATTTGGCAGTACTCCAGAGGAAATCAATGGAACGTCATGGCTGGTAATGTCACGAGACGCAATCTGCAAAAACAAGCAAGAGGAAACGCTGAATTGTATGATAGATGCCTCATAACAAACTGACGTTTAGGTTTAGATTTAAGTTAAGGTTTTAGGTTGTAGGTTTAGATTCAGATTTAGATTTAGGTTTAGAGCAGAATAGCTGACTTATAATTTCAAAACAGTGCTTTATGCTTTAAATCTTTGTTTTTAGCCACTTACAATACTGTCTTGTGTTTCAAGTCTTAAACGAGTGTACAAAGTGTCAACATTGTAAGACTTTTGAAACACAAGACAATATTGTGCGTTGCTAAAAACAAAGATTTTTGAAGCATAAAACACTGTATTAAAATTATAAGTCAGCTATTCTGCTCAGGCCCTTCAGGTTCAGGTTCAGTTTAAGTTTAGGTTATTCCGCAAAAGAGAGTCAGGTCAGGTCGCGTCGCTCGCGCGCGAACATGCACGCCCGCATATGTGCACCGCGAAATATCATACTCCTCGTTCGCGTAGCACAACAAATCTATTAGCGTCATTATACTGCAAAAAAAACAAAACATTACGCTGTCTTGACAAAATTACCGCGTTATGAAACTCCGAATCTTCGTACCGCAGTTGCACTCCGTTGTCTATATATGAAGTCTTTAGCTTTGGGCCCGGACACACACTTTTTCGTAACAGTAACAGTAAAGTTTCGACCACGCGCGTTGCTTGAATCGGGAACGTACGGCTGTACGTTCTCGATTCAAGCAACGCGATTGGTCAAAACTTTACTTTACTGTTACGAAAAAGTGTGTGTCCGGGGCTTAACGCAGGCGACTTGCGGAGAGAAGCGCAATGACGGCGATTTTCTTGGGACGCTTTTGCTAGGCCGTACAGTAGCGCCACTTTCAGGAATTGGAACTACGAGTCACATCCACTTTTCGATACTGTCGATAGTGTCGATGTATTGGTTTATGTCCGTGCTATGTATACATCCACTGTCGGTCTTTGGTGGTTCGTGTCACTTTTGGGTGCTTCCGAAGAAGCGCTCGAGGTTAGGTTTTGGTATAGTGCACGTAACATATGCTATACCAAAATCTAACCCCGAGCGCTTCTTCGGAAGCACTCCTTGTATTTTTAATTTTTATATCATGGTTATTACTGTTATTAGTAGATTTCAATTTGCCAGTAATAACGGGTAGATAGATATTTATCTCATCATGTTCTTTTTTGGTATCCGTTATAGCATTATCACACACAAATATTATAACAGCAGAGCCAAATCTCTTAATTATGTTATTTCAACGGTTTTTCTTCAACGGCTCCTAAATTAAAAACTTTTTCACAAGGTCATGTATCTATCGGTTGTCATTGTGCAAGATTAACGACGGATCGATTGTGGATACGTGGTATCTCTGTAGACTGTGATATTTTTAATAATACAGCTAGGATACTTTATCGCGAGCAGTTATGCGCGAGCAAGCTATAAACGAATATTATATTAATCTAGAATATAACAGGAACAGCAAGGAGGTGAGCATCATCATGAACTTGACAATCTTGGCATATGCCTTGGTACATGTATACACCTAATATGTATACCGCACGTTTTATTAATTAATAATAGATTAGGATTAGGAGATTCATTATTAATGTTGCAAACAAAAAGCCTCATTTATATACTGTACTTTCAGTAAAATGCATTATACTATTTTTGTTACCGTATTTTAGGAAGCATTGACAGAAATATCCACTTTATCTAAGAACATACAATTTAAGAATGTTAATGATTTTCCAACGAGGTAAATAAGAATTTATATATAATCTGAATCTAAATACACGCACGCACGCACACAGACACACACACACACGCGCGCACACACACCCGCACACACGATAAAAATGGCATATGTTGCACCTTGTCATTTCTAGTACTTTCTCTTTGTTCTTTTTGCTCCAGATTTCTTAAAGCGGTGTCTATAATAGAAACAAATTTGTCTCTTTTCAAATCCGCCTGTGAACATGTAGACACAGTTGCTACTATTCTTGAATACTTGACAAATTTTAGCGCAAAACTTCTGCTTGGTAATGAGTTTGGTACGTGATAATTTTGCAAAAATATATTGACATCACGTTTTCTGACTGCATCTGTGTATTTTGTTTTGCTTACAAGTATATAATAATTGCGTATATCGTACAGAAACACATATTACACAGTTTATATACGTATATGAGAAATTCTTTTGTTTGTCGAGTTTTCATTCAACATTTCTTTTCTACCTAGATGAAGACATAGATGAAGAATACAACAAAGAAGAATTAATCTTATCGGTAGTGCTTACAATCTCCAATATCAGTAGGGAACACAAAGTGCAATTATTTCTGGAAAATGTTATCCTGTAAATTGTTTTTCTTTTTTATATTTGTTCCAAATATTAATAACTAATTATATATTTCTCGTGTTAGAATTATAACATCGTTTCACACGTTAACACAGCAATTTTATAGATAATAAAAATGTATATTTATTTCTACATTTTAGCAAAAATTCAACGCTATATAAAACTCAATATAATGGTTTGAAAAATGAGCTTTCAAGTAAGAGTAACACACGTTTGTAATATAACAAAAGTGTGTTTTTAACTAATAATGGAGATTTTTTAAAAACTTTATGTAGATCAAACCAACGAAATGATACTTCTAGAGGATTCAGACGTGTATGCAGTTATCAGCTATTTAAGAATAGTAGGACATTCTCATATAAATAAAATTTGGGTCCAAACACCCATTAAGCAGAAATTTTTGTCGCTTATAAAGAAATATTTTCGTCCTAAAAACTTACCTATTTGTACATGGACATCGATAGAAGCGTTTAGCTCCCGTACGTCATGTAATATGAATATAATATCTATATGGTCAGAAGATGTTGGACGTGCAAAATATTTAGCAACAATTTTAGATGTATGTATACATTATTAAATCATAAAACATATTATATTACGAAATATTTGATCTTACAATCATTACTAAAGTAATTTTTGCTTTTAATTATTCAGAGAGACGTTATATTCATAAATATGCATATGGATCTCTATGGTGGTGTCATGCTTTTACCTTGGTTAAAAATTGTCGACAAATTACATAAAAGATTTAAAACTAGTTTCAATGATTCGATACAGCCGAGTAAAAATGAAATAAACCTCTCAAATATTCCTTCAAATACGACGTTTACGTCAATTCATAATTTGTTTTACGATGGCAAATGGCAGAAACCTGTGAAAGGCACATATTGGAAACATAATAAAATTTTATGGGCAAGTACAACGAGGTATGAATCCACGTAAGATGTATTCAATAGAATATTTTTTTTCTTGGATTTAAGAAAAAAATCTAACAAAGTTCACAAATCAAACGTAATCGATAAATTTATTGTAGCGACGATGCTAGGATGTGTTTTAATTCAGCTATAGAAGGATTGAAGACTTGGAAAACTTATTCTGTTGATACTAGAATATCTATAATGGTTCAATTGCTAACAACGCTAAAATATTATAGGTTAGGGTTATTAAAGTTTTTTGTATATTTGTGTTTCTTTACTCTTGATAACTTTTCAATAACGTTTCCTTTTTTATCTCTTTCTTTAGTAAATCCCTGAGAGGCGCGGAGAACTTGATGAGATCCCCGCAGTTCAATGACATATCGTTACTTTATTCTCAAAATGATAGATTAGAAGTAATCCAAAATCGTATTCCAAGAGGCGTTATTATTCTTAAGGAGAGAACTGAAGAAATTTTGTTTGTTCGATTGATGAAAATTTTAATTTCTGGCAATTCTGTTATTGTGCTAACTGATGCAAATTCCAGTAGTTTAGCACCCTACTGCGATATCTTTTCGTTAGCCAAGGTACCTCGAGGCGTTGTAAATGTACTGTCAAATGAAAACACAAGCGATTTAGAAATGAGCTTATGTGCGACAGATTACGCAAATTATGAGAAACAATTGTACACATCGAGCTTGAAGAAAACATATATAAATCTTACTCTACCAAAGCAAATTATACTCTCTCTCAAATATAATAATTTTACTGACGATATAGAGCATGGGCGTTTAATTTGTGACCAAGACAGAGATACATAAGAGAGTATAAGCATTTTGATATATATATATTTTTTAAAATATTACACAATTTTAGGAAAACAATTTCTTCCCGTCGTAATCATTAATTAATTCTCTCGAAAAGCTACAAGTTACATTTTAATTGCGACATAACATCCACTGTAAATCAAGGTATTGAAAGTTTATATAAGATTTAAAATGTAGAATGTTCTGTATTTTTATCTATATCTATATGTACAAGCATTTGTAAAATTTAATTGCAATGTTATTATGAATATATTTGACGCTTTAACAAGTTACTCAGATTTCTTAAGTACAATAACACACTTAATATTTTTGCACGTATTATTATATTAGCAATTAAAAAAGAAATAAAAAGAAAAGAAAAGATAAAAAAAGAGATAATTTTTTCTTCAAGTCCTTTCACGAGCTGTATCGTATATATATATCTTATTGACAACTACACCTTATTATAGATACATTTCGGCCATTTTCTGCCAATGCAAGAAATTTAATAACACGCGATATGTAAGTAAAATAAAATTATCGTCGAACACAATGCAGCATCTCAAAATAGTGTTTATTTATTTATTTATCAAGGATAATATACTTATTATGGATTAACAAACATTGTAAACATTATGTTCCACATACTCCTATAATATTACACATTAGGCCACATTTAGAAATATGCTCGGAACAAAAACTGTTATTACATCTTATATTCTACAATAAAATATAAACAAGGATGCACAATGTAGTAATCTGAATTACACAATGTATTCTAAATGTGGCCATTATAATTTTATAAACATGTATTTATAGAAAAGAATATCTCGAGCTAAATTTCGGCATCTTGATGTCATTAAAACTTAGACTTCGCCATTTAACAATTTCTTGTCGAACAGAAATTCTCCCAAAGGTCCATGCATTTGCATCATTTTCCCTAGAGTTGAGATTTTCCCGGCAAGATCGCGTTGCCCTTTGTATTGCTCGTCCAAGAAATCGCTTGTGAGGTAGTCCACCAACTGTAAACAATCGCGACGCGGCAGTGAATATTTTTTTCATACAAAATTGTTATTTTCGAAAAAAAAAAAACGATACTTACGTGGTAATCATTGAACGAAGATGATTTTGGATTTTCGCAAGTTATAATTATATCACGAATGCTGCGCGTAACTTGAGCCTCTAATTTCAAGGCCTCGGCAAGAGCTTCTTCTCCACTGTTCCATTCTTGGCGCATCGGATTTGTATTGTTGGTAGTCTGTATATATAAACGACGTAAGAAAAAACGTGTTACTGTCGGTTACACCTTTTTCTTTTTTTTTTCCACGACCTATTGACTCGTGGAAAGTAAAATACTCACCAAGGGGTAGTTGAGAAGTTTGCTAACGTCATTTGTAAGTTCTCCACGCATTAGCAAATATTCGATGATCTTTATCGCATGCTCTCTCTCTTCGCTCGCACTTTCGAAAAAGAACTTGCTAAAGCCTGGGCGATTTATAACATCGCGTGCAAAATGGGCACCCTAAGAAGAAATTAGAAATCTTAACACATTATGTTAATTTAACAAGTTATAGAGATTACATATCGAATGAAATATATATATATAATGCAAGCCGACGCTAGCAAGATCTATATACCATTGCGAGATATTTCATGGCAGCTTCCATCTCGGTTTTAACTTGAGACTCCATGAGTTTTATGCACGGATCAGCCATGTCTATCCATGAATTTGGTATATCAGCAGGTTTAAGTATACCTAAAGAGATGTAAATGAAATTAATATGGTTGGTTAATTATTTATTACATATAATATATACAAATAATCGTCGTATTGAAACTCGTCTAATAATTATTGCCTAACGAAGAACGTTCTATCGTATCGTGTAATAACCCATCTTTTGTGTTGATAAGAGAAGAACACGTATTACTTTATCAATATATTATCAAAAAGACGGCATTATTTTATCGGTGCGTGACCGATCGCTCACATTGATAGCATCTGCTCGAAAATAAAATGATTAGGAATAATCTTGTTGTAACGAGAGATAGTTTCTTCTGTCTAGCTTTACTCCTATTTTTATTGGTAGCTACTTGCAGCTGCTTGATATAGAAGTTTATAAAATGTAATTCTCTTTTTCACATGTATAATTTAACTTGTTGTAATATTAGTTGTAAATTACGTTTGTATTACAAATTAAATCTGTTTTACAGAATGTGCGAATGGATTGGAATCAAACGATCATTTAATATACATGTCACGGACTTGTATATCATATATCACACAGAGACGTAAATCCGTAAATGCGCGTGAATGAGTCAACAGATGGAAAAGGGACTTTGGAATCAGTATATATACATCATCATAACAACTTATCATCAAAAGCTATCTTTGTACAAAGGGACATAGATCAATAGCGAAGTGAATTAGTTTGCTGTAGAAGAGATATACGCGGTACGTGTGATAAGTTATATTAATTTGTGTTTTATATATATATAATCTCTTTCATGATTACAAGTAAGAGAAAAATCCTTTCTACGATATAACTACTAATATAATTTTCGAATTAAACTCTGTTTTCCTTGTGAATTCTGTTTAATGAAAATAAAAGTTTTATCAGAGATGGAAGACTTGAAGAATGTTTTTGTTAATTTTCTTTCTTTACACGTATAACATAGAGGAGATTATTACCTAACCGTTGATTTACAAGTAAGCAAGTAGATACATGCTTCCCGTTTCGTCAAGCGAAAAGAACGAAATGCTTTTTTTACACGTGCAAATTTTTGTCTTGGTCGAGTTGCACCATTTATTCGTTAAGCTGAGCGTGATATTTGAAATAATCATGTATACATGGCATACATATGGGATGATATATAGATAGAACGCGAGAGAACAAAGCTGAGGCAACTGCGTATTCGTCGGGTGACTGTACAGCTCTCTTTATCGCGCGCTGATAATAGCTATGTCGATTTCCCGCAAATGATTTTCTCTGACGACTCTAGTTTTATCCTCATTTATACTTGGTAAGTGGCGATAATACTGAATCGGGTCATAAAAATGATAAAATCATGGCATCTGCGTGTAAAAATAATACAGATAGCAGGAGGAAAATACCTTGACGTATGCGTGTCACAAAGATCAAACGCATCGCGCATAACGCGCATTTGCTTGTCGCTAACTTCCGCACGACATAATTGCGACGCTATACAGTTTATCACTGACAAGGGGATAAACAATCCTGGATCCCTTGAATTTTGCTAAAATATTAATATGTTACGATACACTCCATTAACTAACACAAAATACTGCAGTAACTCTGTCCAATGTGCAATAGTTGATGAAATATTAATATTTAAAATGGTTTTTTTTTGTTTATTTTTTCCCCCGATCTCTCTCTCTCTCTCTCTCTCTCTCTCAATGATAAATAAACCAGGCTCATGCAAAGAAGTTGCATTCATAAAACACGTTTGATACAAATTAGTAATATAAATGTTTTAAATGTTTCTTTAATAGGTATCATCCAAAAACGTGTACGCATTGTGACTATATCATTGATAGGGAACAAATTAAAAGTTCCGACACCGAAGATTAATTGCCATGTCATTATAATTATATTTTTTTTTATTTATGATATATAAATAAACTTAATGTTTTGCAGAATTTTAAAACAATTACACACGCGAAAAATTGTCAACATTAATATTTCATAAACTATTTAGCAAAATTCAAGGGGTCCCCTTGTAACATGTATCTTACCCGGTTTTGATCTTGCAATTCATTTAAAGAATATTTTCAAACGAGACTATCGCCGTTAGACATATTTTACATATTCATATTCATATTCGTGTATATGTGCTTACAGCAAATATAACTTTGCCAATCTATAAACGTACGATTAGTTTACTAGAGTATACTAGATGGTATTTGGTATATTTATGAGTATTTTCATCACTTTCAGAATCAATTGAACAAGCAAAACTCGAAAGCAGAGAATGTCAAATATCACGAACGATATCCGTGATATGCGTGATCGAGAAGAAACAAAGGCTATCCTTGAAGATCGACACGACCGATCAACACGTTTCGTTTCTCTCTATCTCTATCTCTATTCTTCTAATGAGAACGGATGACTCTCGCCGCTCGCGTGCTCGATATAGAATATAGATTTAGATATAGATGATATGATACGACGCCGACGTGATTAACAAGGCAACTTAAAGTTGCAACAGCAACATTTCATAGGTTGACGTATATAGAAATGGAATTTGTGTGTATGTTGGGCTTTTCTCTCTTTTCTCTCGGGATAAAAGCGGCATATATCTCAAAAGTGAAAAACATTGGAACATCGGATTGGCACGTGGATCGTGAATGGATATACACGTGTACGGACTAAATTCAGTAGAAATAACAATACATTTCTGTCGAGAAACTTGGCTGTCAACAATTTACAAGGGCAAACGATCGCGCACATACTATTCTTCCTTTATTCATGTTATTCTTCTTTTTTCTTCAAATTATTTATTTAAATTAAATACAGCCATCGTGGAACAGTAGAAAGCGCACGAATTAACGGACGATAGAATCTATTTGTTTAATCGAAATTAGCCAAGCGCGAGGGCACTAAGCCGATCAATCGAAAGAGCTTGGACGACATCCAAAGGTCTGATTGCTCAATCAAAACAAACTAAGTATTGCGCTTCACGCTTTATGCGGAGTCACTCGATCTCCCACGAGGCGCGGAGCACTCCACTCCACGGAGCCGGAGTAACCCTCGCTTCTCTTTATATCTTTTGATACCAATACAAATTTGGGGCATAGATAATGCTTGATGAAATTATTTTTTCTACATCGCGGAGTTAAACGGGACAAAGGAACGGCAGGACAGCGACCGCGGGATGTCAACGTTCCGAAATATATGCCAGATGTCTGCAACGTAACGCGGCGTGTAGTGACGTGTCGCAGGTCGCGGGAAGGCGATAAGGGAACGAGAGGGGACGAGAGAGAACAAAAGTACGCATGTTGATTGTAAACTTACACTTGAGCCCATCTCCGAGGGTGCCACTGATGCAGGCCAGGGTGAACAAGACGAGGAGCAGCTTCGTCATAGTGATCTCGCGAGATAGAGAGAGACTAGAAGGAAGTTGAGAGGAGCTAAGAAAAGCGAGAGCGTGGACAAGTTATGGGTCGACGGGCGACGGGCAGGCAGGTTAGGTTATGGGATCCCGAGAAGGAGAATGCTGGATCAGGCAGGATCGGCGCGGCGCGACGCGGCGGATCGGATCGGATCGTTCACCTCGTTCACCTTCAGAAGCAACCTTTATACGCACTGGTATAGAAGGCTGCCTTCGTCGGAGCTAGATAAGAGTGCGCGGCGACGTGCGAGCGGACTAGACGCGTCTTACGGTCATCGATCACCTAACGACAGTAACGACAATCGTCCGAGGAACGCGCGACATTCGCACTTTAACCACAGGCGGGGTAAACCGACAGATAGCGGGATAGCACGAGATAGCACTAGGGCGCAGCGTCAGCACACAGCGTCGGCAGCGTCGCCAGCGAGAGAGCGAGGGGCGTTGAAAGTTGATATTGGAATCTCCCTCTTTCTCTTTCGTCCCGCCGCGCCACGCCGCGCGCTGCTCCCCTCGCGTATCATCTGCGCGTGGCGCGCGTGCGCCGCGCCGCCCCGTCACTCCCGACTCCCGTCCGCCGACGTCCGTCGTCAGCTGACTGTGACTGTGTGAAAACTCCGTATCCGCGGCGGGCGACGGTTCATTGTCGGGGGAACGTCGAAGCGAGAGTATTCACGTTGCTTCCCATCGAACGTTGCGCGCCGCTCGCACACCTCGAGCCCGAGTCATCCGAGAGACCCGAAGACAAGTATTCGACAGCTCGCTCAAGTTTGCTTCCCTTACGCACGTACGTAGATAAGAGATGTTAAAGAGAGTTAAGCGCCCGCGCCTCCTCTTGGTTTCACGCGCGGCACATCAGGCACATGTGGCATGTGGCTGATGTGGCTTTCCCCGTGCCGTTCCCCACCCCCCCGGAGGGGGAGAGGATGTACGCATCGATCTGTGTTTGTTGATTGATCGTTATTTCGCGATTCGCCAAATATTTTCAAACGTGTCCGTTACTGTAGTAGTGATATAGTCGTGACATTATTTGTGACCTCTCTCTTCGATTTCTTCGTTTCGAACGTGTCGTACACACAAAGGCAACCTCGTGTTGTTGTGTTGCCGCGTAGCAGCGTTATCACTTGTCGTCAACAGATAGTTTTTACAAGTCGGCAGATTTGAAGCGAAAGATTAATCGTCGCGCGTTTTGTAAAATAACCGAGATATAATATATTTTTCTTTAATTTTAATTTAATAATTTTGATCGCTCTTGAACGTACTTTTGTGGTTTGCACAATAATTGACACGCAGTGTCAACATAGGCGTGCCCCGCGCGCCCCATCCGCATATACATATACATATTTAGAAGAGATATTTTTATACTTAACTTTTATTATATGTATTAAATTTCAGCCAAAATGTTGTTCTTTGGAGCATTGTCCGTTCTTTTCCTGACCGTTTCCGCGGAGTACTGTTACACCGACGTTGAGAGTGCCTGCGGCACCAATCCCAAAAGTATGTGGATTATATTTATTTGCATCAAGTATATGTAGTTGAATAGTTTAAGAATATTGAAATTATCTTTCGGATCACTCTGGATTTCCCGCTGTAACATAACATGTAATATAATTGTGTCGCGTTTTTTGTTTAATTTACTAATTTACTTATCTTGGCTTGCTATTTTTATACGTATATATTGTGCCTCTTCGACAAAACGCGCAATCTCGAAAGAAAAGTACATTCTTTTCGATCATCTTCTAGATGGTGGGCTAATATCGAACTGTAATGCCAAATACGGAGCTATCGATGCTCTTCAGGCTGATCTACAGGCGTTCGCAAACGCTAATATCGAAACGAGTTTTGAATTTCTCCTGATGTCTACGCATTTTGGAAATTACGAAGCTAATCGAGAGGGATTTAAGGGGCTGTACCGCAAACTTTCAGATAAATCGTGGGAAGAAGCGATAGATTTGATGAAATATATCGCACAGCGTGGTGGCAAGATGGACCTCAATCAACTTCCACGTTCCAAGAAACCTGTGAGTGTCGTCTATTAGCTATTTTGCTATTTATTTCAGCTCTCCTTCGCCTTACGGAAAAACAGCGCGTTTTATCCTACGCTTTATTTCTTACAGATCAAGGATAGCAAAGTATTGGAATTGACCGAGTTGAATAGCCTGGCTAAAGCACTCGACAGTCAGAAGCAACTTGCCGACGAAGCGCTACGCATTCACACTCAAGCACAGCATCACACCAAACAGGATGCGGCTGTCGCTCATTATATCGAGGAACATTTCATGGAATCGTTGTCCGAACGTGTAAGACAGCTAGCAGGTTATTCGAATGACCTCAAGAATATGCTGGAAGAACGTGACGCATCCGTCTCTGTATTCCTCTTTGACGAGTACCTTAAGAAAACTTTGTAAGGAGCTGCCTAACAGTTATAACTTACAACACATATACATATATTTCAATTATATTATTATCATTATTATTATTATTACTATTTTTTGTCTTTATCTATCTTCAATGTTAGATCTTTCATATGTAAAATACCAGAAATAAACGCATACAGAAATTTATTTCTTGCGTGTGTGTGTGCGCTCTGCAATAAATAATAAAACATTGAATATATCTACACGCACTTTATCCTTTTTATTAATTATTTACCACCTGAAATACTAGTCTAAAAAACTATTTAATTCGATATGCCTAGTCAAATTTGCTACAAATCAAAATTTACCACATAAAATTTTCTATGCATTTGTCTTCGCAGATATGTCTTATCATAATGTGTATCGCTCATGATATAAAATATGGGCAACGGGCATAAATTCTGATTTACAAATATAGATATTGTATATAAATATAGTAAACGATAGAACATCTCGTTGAATATACTAAACTGAACTCCTTAAATGATGTCTACGCATTTTTTTTATTAGAGGGAATAAAAGTTTTGCGCATTTCCATTATAGTTATAATTAGATGTAATGATGTGTATGATACTATCAATTACAGCGTATTTGTGCTATTACATTTCTCTTTTTTTATTTATAACTAGACCTAATATAGAATAATAGAATACAATTAATTTTCCATTAAAAGAGGATGTGAGCGTATGTGTGTAGGAGGGGGGGGAGGGAGGATACGTGATGCTACTTCTTTGTATACAGATTGACAGTTGCAGATTATAGGAAAATCTACAAATGTTATTTTGTTTATTCTTATCACTCGCTACATTTACCTTATCAACATGGAAGCAGGCATCCATACATTATATATGCTATTTCTATATTTCTTGTTACAGATCCATCTAATGATGTACATGATATTGTCAATTATAGCGAATTTATGCTATTTATTACATCTCTTTTTTTATTTATAACTATATATATTCTCTTCATACAATTATTTCTTTTATCCCAAATTAACTAGCAACTATATTGATATTACAAATATAAAATATGGTGATTTAATAAACTAATTTTTATAAAGAAAAATTATTCAGTCATTATATGATATGTGTATAAAGCTATTTTTTTTAACAAGTCGATATGTCATACATAAATTATTAAAAATGTATATCATGTATGTATATGTTACACAGACACACACACATACACACAAAATAGTCTTCTAACGATATGTAATCGGATCTAACACATTCTAATTTTATACCGTTGTATACTATCACAATGCATATTCCACTTACGATGACTTGTATCACCTAAAGGTCCTAAAGCAAATGTTATATTAGTATAGACGGATAGAAATGTACGTGCGCACGCACACAAAAGTTATCTAACAAAAAGATAAATACTTACTCTCCATCACTACTGTCATACACTAATTTAATAGGTTTTACTATCTTGCATATTTAATATTCTATAGCACAGATTTAATTTTTGTTGGTTTATTTTATGCATTGTGTACCTGTATGAGACAAAAAATGTTTTTTATTAAAATGAGACTAAATCATATAAATTTCAATTTAAACACCAATATAATGAAAAACTTCGAATGAAATTTGTTATTACCGATAAAGTTGTAATATTAACGTGTACTAATAAGGAAGCAAGCTCAAGATCTTCGTTATATACGTTTTTTAATGGAACACTTCTATATCCCGTTCTTAAACAGCGTACCTGAACGAAATAAGATTTGAATTGGATACAAAAATCGAACAAAGTAAGAAGGTTTTAAACATAAATGTTTTTAGATAACGATTAAATACTCACTGGATAAGTAGCTTGTCCTATGAAATTATTATCGCCAAACATATCTTCGTCTTGGACTAAAAATCGTATAAGAGCAAAATATGGATTGAATATTTCAAATTCACATGTTTCATTCCACATTGGATTAAATCCATTATCCTCTATAAATTTGAAAGTTACATTTAGTAATGTAATAATGTTTAATAAAATTATAATTTGAAATGTAGAGAGATGTATGTATAATTACGTATTGTCTTTGTTGTTAATTTTGTTCCAGAGTCAAAGTCTGCGCCTATAATTTCGATCTCAACGGATGGACTGGCAGTACCTCTTCCTGATCTCATTAAATGTCTCGCTCCAATAATTTTTAAGCTAATCTTGAGCGATTCAACCCCGTACAATGTATTTTTATCGTATGGATTAAAGTCATCCCTGAACATGAATTCTGGTTTCAACAAATAGCCACAGTTGCCATTTTCTTTAAATTTAGCCTGATTCAATTGCATTGATTTATCTCCTGTCTGATAGTTCAAAGCTACCATCTGACAACCAGAATTCCACATTGGTACAGGATTATAATTAGATGAATCGATACGTTGTCCCTTTGGGTAAACTCTACTAAACTGAATCTATGAGGAAAAATAATTGGTTTACTAAATATCTTCTGGTTTACATTTTAACATTTTAATGGATTCACACACAAATTCTCTCTCTCTCTCCCTCTCTCTCTTTCTCCCTCTCCTCTCTCTCTTTCAAGATACTTTACACATTACCTGATGATATTTTATAAAAAATTTATTTTCTTGTTGACACATTAATTTTTCAGCCTTTGTTTCAGGGAAACTACTCATTTCATTGAACGTAAATCCCTTAGTTCTTATTCGTTCTATATTAAATGCAACTGATCTACAATATACTATAAGATTAGACATTTCCTTGGCTATTCTCCATGCCCTTTCCATTTCTTTATGTTGACTTTCCTAACAAAAACATACATAATGTATAGGATGCTAAGTAATATCTAAATTATACATAAAGGAAATTACATATTTACCCTAACACTTGCATTTTGTGCAGTCTCTTTGATACTTGACATCCATTCTAACGCGGTATCTTGCAAAGGTGTCGCGACTTCAAATACTGAACACATACTAGGATTTTGTATTCTTAAAATCCACTCCAAACCTGGTCTTTCTCCAACCGTTAATTCTACCACAGCACCCATGATATCTAACGAACCTTTTTGCAAGCTACCAAGCATCATAGAATCCGCTGACTAATGAAACAAAATATTCTTAAATTAGATGCAAGTCATTTACATTTGTCTAATCATTCATATACGTAAATATTAAACTTGAGACTTACATCTGCTTGAATTTCTTGCTGATCAATTTGTTCCACATAATTAGCAGGAAACCAATGTTGTTTTTTACCACCATAATCACCTCTCCACCATCCTCCGCTTTGTGGATTAACGTTAGTAATTATTGCATGCTTGACTAATGTCAATTCATCGTCTCTTCTAGCTTTATAATCATAAATAGCTTTGACTGTGACCTTTAAAATAATTTAATACATCAGTACATATAATTTTTTTTTTTATTACATTATAGAAATATGAATTTAATAATTATCGGCTTGATCTTGGAAAGCTTACTTGTGAGTTTACGTTTGTAAAACTTGTAGGATCCATATAACCTGGGATGCCATAAGACCCATCATCATTATCCTAAAGGGAAAAAGGAATGTTATGGTATTTTTCGTCCCTCTCAGCATTCTAATATTTAGACATATAATTATGTATTCCATACGGACTCGAAGAAAAATACAAATATAAACATACCAGATCCATTCTTTTGATAATGTCCTTGTTAACAGGATGGCTTAATTTAATTTTCTTGAACAACGGATGTCGTTCGTAATAACTGACTAATTCAACTAAACTCTCAAATTCTACGGTTCCAGTGGTATAGAGCCTTCCTTCCAGTTTTATTTTACAATGCTTTATCTTTTTTTCCGCTCTATAATAACAGAATATAATTTGATAAGAGATAGAGTGTCTATATAATCTATATAGAAAGCTATACAGAAGAAACACGAGACGCTTTAAGGAAACATACCTAAATGAAATTGCGTAGCAATTATTTTCACTAGGCCTTACTAAAAATGCACCGTCTGTAGGTATACGCTTTAACATCTCTTCTGCTGCGATTCGAGTACATTCGGGATGCCACCATTCTTTTTCCTCGTGTTTGTTTGGCTGAGGCACTGGCTCTTGTAATGTGATTAAAAATTCCTGTGCATCAAAGACACGATATAATCATATACTGTCTGTTGTTCTTCATTCAAGATAATATCACAAATACATTTTTATTCTAATAATATACTGCTCTTTTGTACTCACTTGGCTCCTAAGTGGATTATTACGATAATGAGTAATTAAACTGTACAGACTATCAAAACAATTGGTATCAATAAGATAATACTGCGTTTGACCCATTTCTTGCTTCAGTTTAATACGACAATGGTTCACCTTTCCTTTGCGCCAAAATGATAAACAGTAATCGCCCACAAATGTAACACATTGTCGCACTAGAAAAGTACCATCTCCAAGATAGGAATAACGACGTAATAATTCTTCAGCTTCCTCCCTTCCTCTCGCCAATTTTCCATGGAACCATTTCTCCCCAAAGTGTAACTCGTCATTTTGCGCGCCCTTTAAGAATTATGTACATTAAATGTTATAATAATATAACACGTTTAAACACATGCATTGCAAAATTTTATCTTAAAAAATTAATAAATCACAGTTCCTAACGGATCGTAATTCATATTATATACTTTGTATGTAAAATGTGCATACATCCAACGATCTTCGAACGCCGCTTTCCTCATCGTCATCGTGTTCGGTTTCTGGCGCTCTTGAAAATGTGTCTGTATAGAACAACTTTTGTTGCGTTAATACGAAAAAATGAGGATTCCATTCTCTATCAACAGGATCTTCCAGATAAAGAATCCCATTTTTCACAGTATTCCGAAGATCCATCTCTTGTCTGCTTTCATCATTTCGAACGAGAAAAGAGGATTCGTCAACACCATCAGGAAGTTTCTTATGTTTTAATAAAATTTTTCTACGTAATGCGTATGGCGAAGGTAAGCAAGTTTCATTCTTGTCGACAGGTTGGACTAACAACATGTCGCCAAATACCTCTTGCATAGTTGTTGCCATTTTACGTTGTTGGGGTAAGGTACAATTATCCTCGATAGATAAAATAACGGGATATCTGCGAATAAAACGTGTCAATAGATTAGAAAATAATAGCTATGCAGAGATAATTGCTTTCATGTTCATTTGTCTCTCTCTCTCTCTCCCTCTCCCTCCTTTGTTCTTCTTTAACTCACTCAGATGTAGCAAAAGCATGCT